AGCAGCTGGAACAATCGACCTTGTGGTTAGCAGTCTACTGCTTATCCTACAGTGCCACACCAGGACTCCATCTCGATGTAGAAGTATTTAAAGTAAAACAAACCTACAAGACTGAAAATAGGAAACCAGAGATACCAATTTATAATGAAATCAACTACAATGCAAAAAGAGGAAATAGTATAGATACAGAAATTCCAAGTGGTGAGAAAGTCAAGTAGATTTCAAGGTAAAACAAACAGTTTTAAATGGGGAAATTTTTAATAAATTACAAGGTAACCTCAAAGAAAATTAATACACCTTCATGTCAAAATGAAAATGAGGAAAATAGAAAGGTTTAGTAAACATTAACACAAAGGAAATTAAAATAAAATCCACAAACAAAAGTAATGCAGTATAGAAAATTAAGTGGAACAAAGAAACTAGTAGCAACACCAAAAAAAAAAAAAAAAAAATCCACAAAACGAAAGCAATCAATTCATACCTCGCAATAATTACACTGAATGCAAATGGATTAAATGCCAAGAGACAGAGTAGTAAAATAGATTAAAAAACAGGATTCTTCGATATGTTGTCTATATATCAAAAAGATGGAGACAGCCTAAATGTCCATCAACAGAAGAATGTTTAACAAAATCTTGGTACATACACACAATGGAATACTACACAACATTGAATAATTATGATCAATCTGAAAACTACCTCACAATATAGTTGAACTTGTAGGGCATTATGCTGAGTGAATTAGTCAATCACAAAAGGACAAATATTTTATGAGACCAATATTGTAAACAGTTAATAAAAGGTTTTCTTGAAAAAAGAAACATTCTATGATGGTTAAACGGGGTAGGGGAGGGAAAATTATTTACAGGCTAGAGGGTAGACAGACACATGTTAACATGGGTGACACGGCAGACAATATACAACAAGTGGGAAGTTCATAGAGAAAAGATGAAGGTAGTGAGAGACACAGGGAGGAAGACAAGAATTAAAATGAATAGAGGGAAATAGTGTTAACTGAGATGGTACATGGAGGAGATTGAAATCATTGTAATGAAGCAAAGTATATGATTTGTTAAATGTAAAACTGATAATCTGCTCTGTAACCTCTTAACTTAAAAAAAAATTATATTTCTAATGAAAGGATCCCTGTTGGTGCAGTTGGTTTAAGAATTGAACTGCTAACCACAAGGTCAGGATTCAAACACACCAGTTGCTCCTCAGGAGAAAGATGAAGTTGCCTGTCTCAGGAAAGATTTGGAGTCTCTGAAGCCCTGAGGAGGAGCTCTCCTCTGTCCTGTCAGGTCACTATGAGTCCAAATCAACGCCATGGCAATGAGCATCCCCAACAAAGTCATAGTAGTTAATGGATAACTTTGAAAAAATTGTTGTAATTAGTTACCATATTAATTTTACAATATCTTTGCTTTTGTGTTATTTACTTAGAAAAACATAATCTTGTTTTATTTATCTATGCATAGGTATGTCAAGAAGTTTTGCTACAAAATCATAGAAACCTTCATTAAACAAAAAAATATCAGAATGGGAAGCTATTGTTTCTTGACATCTCCTCCATCTATGTATATACACTTCTGAAGGCGATGTTTCTATCTCTCTAACCCATCCCCAAATAAGTTTTCACTCTTCAATGTAACAACACATCAACATGGCGTTTTGGCATCCTCAAGAGATTCAAATTGTGCTCCTTTTCAAAGTTCTTTGAGTTTGAGAACAAAAAGAAGTCTGCTGTGGCAAGATCAGGGCTGTAGCAGGGACAAGGTTGTTGTTAGGGTTAAGTGCTGTTGAGTCGGTTCCAACCCATAGCAACGCTGTATAAGGTTTCCAAGGAGTTGCTGTAAAGTTTGAACTGTTGACCTTGAAGTTCAAACTGACTTTGTAGTCCAGCGCATTAACCCATAGTACCACACCAGCACTGGTAGCGTAGTGGTTACGAATCGGGCTGTGAACCTTAAGGTCAGCGGTTCGAAACTACCAGCTGCTCCGTGGGAGAAAGATGAGGCTTTCTACTCCCGTAAAGATTTACACCCTCGGAAACCCTATACAGGGTCGCCATGGGTCGGAACCAACTCGAAGGCACATAACAACAACAACAACAACAACCACACCAGGACTCCAGGGATGACATAATGTTGCCTAAAGAAATTCTCATAGGATAGCCCTTGGTACCCTTGAAGAATAAGCACATGCATTGTCATGATGGGAAAAAATTCCTCAGTGCAACTTTCCTGATATTTTTTCCCTCACCAATGCAGTTTTTATCTTCTTAAAACTTCTTCATGATAAGCCCCCACAATCATCCTGTATTCTGCAATAAAATCTATCAATATTACCTCTTTGGAATTTTTAAAAACAATCAGAGTGACCTTCTGAGCTGACCTCTCTGCCTTGAATTGAACTGGCCCATCATATCCCCTAAAAAGCCACTGTTTTGTTTGGACCTCAAGTACTGGATTGTATTGATAAATCCGAGACATCCCCAGTTACAATTCATTCTACAAAACAGTCTTCATTACATGTGAACATCAGTTTCCATGACCCTGAGACCAGAAGAACTAGATAGTGCTCAGCTACCACTACCAACAGCTCTGAAAGGGATCACCTTAGAAGGTCCTGGATAGATTGGGAGAAATTGTGGAACAAAATTCAAAACTATTAATTAAAAAAAAAAAAAAAGACAACGCTTAGTGGTTGGTCAGAAAGAGACTGGAGGAACCTGAGACTATGACCCTTGGCCACCCTTGAGGTCTGGAAAAGAATTCACCCTCATGGCCCAATTTTCAGTCAAACAGTAGATAGATACAATGGGGAGACAACAACTCTAGTTAAGTGTGCTAACCGAGATACGATTAATCACACAAAATCAAAATGGCAACATTTACCTGAGGACAAAGTTGAGAAGGAATGCAAAATAGGGTGGGATGGAAACAGTAACCACAGGGAGGAAGCAAGATAATTGTTGTTGCATGGAGGGACTGCAATCATTGAGAAGAAACAAAGTGTATGGTTTTGTTGAATGTACAACTGATAATCTTGTCTGTAAACCTTCACTCAATTCATAATAAAAAGTTCAAAAAAACAAAGTCTTCCTTAACGTCAATCTTCTCATCAGACTGATGAAAAGATCAATTCTTTGAGCTACCTAATCTCTATACAATGACTTTTTGGCACCCATCAAGCCAAAAGCTTGCTGAGACCAAAACGTTCACTTAAAGTTGAAATGTTGAGCCATGTGAGATCCCAAGTTCAGTAGCTACTGCATCAATGAAAATTCAATAGTCTTCTATCCGTGTCTGGAAGGCAGCCACAGTGTCTTCATTTGTCAAAGCTGATGGTCATCTTTGAGGTCTTCCCAAACTTCTTTAAAACACTTTTGTTTATGTGGGACAGCATCCCTGTAAATTTGTTTCAAAACTTCAATGGTTTGGAACATATTCACCTCAGTTTTGTTAAAAATTGGTATTAGCTCTGACTTCATAATCTCTCTTTTTTTTTCCCATGGCATAAAAAGTATGCTGTTTTTTTGTTTTTTTTTTTGAAGGCACTCTAAGACAAGAGTAGTACTAAAAGAACTTGTCTGATCACAGAGACATGTATAAATATGTTTGTTTGGAATAAACCTATGCTGTATGCACTGGAACGCTAGTAGCAATACTTTTTTACTTACCCTTGTGTGTGTGTGTGTATACTACATATATACACACAGACCTAATTTGTACTATTTTGTAATTGACTTTATACTGTTAACAGTGGCTGATGTTCTATTATTTCTACCGAATCTGTACCTACTGGTAATAATACCCAAGGAGGTAAGGTACATTTACTTAACCAGGACATCAAAAAACTAGTTAAGAACTCCCCAAAACATAATAAATAACACTAAAGGTTTCTTAAGGTTTGCCGGGTTGTTATTAAGTGCTGTCAAATTGGTTCTGACTCATAGCAACTCTGTATAGAGTTTCCAAGGAGTAGCTGGAGAGTTTGAACCACTGACCTAACACCACACTTATCCTGAAACCTCATAAACACAATTAAAAAAAAAAATTATTGTAATTGTCACAGTGTTGTTATAAAACTTGAAGTGACAATTATGTACAACAAGGTTCTTTCCTACATCTTGGAAATTCCTCCCATCCACTCCTCTTTTCCCACCACTGTCTGTCAGTTTGTTGTACTGTGGTGGCTTGTGAGTTGCTGTGTTTCTGGAAGCTATGCCATAGGTATTTTAAATACCAGTAAGGTCACCCAAGGTGGACAGGTTTCAGATGAGCCTCCAAATGAAGACAGACTAGGAAGAAGGAATGACAAACTACTTCCGAATACTTAGTCACTGAAAACCTTATGAATAGCAGAGAAACACTGTCCGATATAGCGATGGAAAAAATTATGAGGTTGTCCCAGGATCGGGCAGTGTCTCGTTCAGTTGTGCACAGGGTTGCTATGAGTCGGTACTGACTTGATGACACCTAATAACAACAACAACTCCTCTTTTCATTCAATAGCTACCCTCTGCATTCTAGGACTACTTCCCCATCCATTCACCCACACTCAACTTAATTTCTGGGGTCAGCTCCCATCCTGGATGCAAAGCTTCTGGACCAGCTTCCCTCGCTCCTCCCCTCTCATAAGGACTTTTGATTTTGCTACCAAAGGTAAGTCACATGGCTACCTACCCTCTATTGCCTTCTACAATGTATAAGTCATGGCATGATCAATTAATAATCTTTTCTTTAAAATGTCTTTTTGTTACATTAACGCCATCCAGAGGACCCAGCTGAGAAACAAGACCTCAGTGCCCATTCAGCCTGGAACCAACAGGACAGGAATCTCTGCAATTAGACCTGCTTTGGAGCAGTTACATCCTACTGACTGCTGATCTCAGAAAGCAAGCACGAACTAATCTGCATGGTTGATTCTGAAGTACATTTTTCTACAGCCTGTACTTAGCATTTTCTGGGGGGAAATGAGACTTCACTTCCACCTACCAGTTGTTTGGAACCCAATGAAGGCTGGCACAGAGCGTCGGGGAGGGGCAGCAGAAATGCTCACGCTATAGTTGGTGCCTTTGTACAGGTCTAGGCACACTTCTGGGGTCCTGCTGTCTGTGGTGAAGTTGACTGTTTCCTTGTGAACTGATTCCACAGGATCCAACCGTTGTCCTTTAATGGATATCTTGATGAGGAGAAAAGACAAGTGACCACCCCATGATTCCAGTTCAAACAACTGAGTGAGACATATTATTGGATCCTATTTACCTTCTCTTCCAGTTTATACCACACTGCTCACCCATGGAAAAGAAACAAAGTTAACCTGTATTATCAGGTATCCAGTGATAAAGTCTGACCAGCCAGTTATCAATAAACCCTAAGAAGTGACACAAAATGAGGTGTATCTCTAGGTAGTGCTATCCTGCACACAACCTAGGGATCAATTCGCAGTGTTGTCACCGAGTCAGCAGATGCTTCCAGGCTTGTTCTGGGGGAGTGAAGTACAAGTGCTGGGAAACAAGCAATAATGATGATGCTAAATATAAATACATCCCCCACACACACACCCTGTCAAATGGCAAATATATTAAAGACAAAATGTAAAATCACAAAATGATCCAGATATCTCAAAAATTCCATTCATTTTTTAAATAACAATGGGATTGGAAAGCAACTAGATCGAGAAGCTCTTATGAAGTTGTATTTTCAGGGGTTACTTTTTTTTTTCCTACCAGAAAAGAAGATCGCTTTACTTACCACATATACAATCCTGACATTCATTCTTCCTGGGTTTGTTTTCCACCTTACACAGGTGTTATTAAACACAGATACATCACTAATTTCTGTCATTATTTCTAAAATAGAAAAAGAGAGAGTCCACTCACAAAAAGTATCAATTGGGCCTGGAAAAACCCCTAATAGAGACCATTGTTGGAGGGCATGCCTTAGCTTATCTGCATAGTCAATATCTCTGCTAACCACCAATCGTGCTTGGATCCAGATCCCATATCAGGTGATTCAAGCTATCCCAGGCCAATCACCCAAGTTCTCTGCATCATGAATGAGTCTGGCCCATTACCTACCTGACTTGAAGGAAACATGCCAAGCTGAAGTATGACAAGAATTCCAACCTGTGATGAGTCTGACAGGCCACTGGATGCCAGTGGTGTTCCACTCAGGTGGAATGGAAAGAAGGCCCAGAGCTGAGACCTGACTCTTTCATGTAGCTGCCCAGGCAAGATCAGTTTACCCCTTGCTCACTCCAACCCACTGATGGAGCATTCTTATTTTCAAGTTATTGTTGTTGCAAGAAGGGAGGCTAGTATCACCAGACAGGCCTATTCCTCAGGAACCACTCTAGATAAACACTAAATGAACTCTCTCCAAGGTTACTGAACACAATGGAGCTTCATTAACTGAGGCTATTTAATCCTGATCTATCAGAACGTCAGTGAGTTCTTAGGGCTGTTTGATTCCTTTTAAATCTTTTGCATGTTGAGACCAGTAACCAGTTGAACAGTAACCAGTAACGAACTGATTCTGACTTATGGCAACCCCATCTGTGTCAGAGTAGAACTGTCTTCCATAGGGTTCCCAATGGCTGATTTTTCAGAATTAAATCACCACCTCTTTTTCTGAAGTACCTCTAGGTGGACTCAAACCTCCAACCTTTTTTTTTTTTTTTTTCCATTTTATTGTGAATCATGTGTTAGTTTACATGGGTGAACATTATCTTTACATTCATCCTATCGTATTTTGCTTCATTGCAATGATCACAAACCCCTGCATGCATCATCCCTAGTGTCCCTGCCTCTCCGGACAGGGTCTTGCACTTCTCTTTTCTCCCTTGATGGTTCCAGGGATCTCCGCACCTAGACAGCAAAATCAGCCACTCCCCTCTTTTTGTTACAAAACATTTACATTTACCTTTCCAACATTTACTGTCAGACCTGTTGCAATCATTCCCTATTGAACCACAGGAGTCCTTTCCCCCTCACCTTTTATCAACCCCATCCAGACAGGTTGGAAACAAATCAGTGGAGATTCTACCTTTCCCTGTATCCTCTGGAGCTAGGTTCCCTAGTGAAAGCTTGTAAACCAGTCACTTCTTGCCCTTATAGCACCCCCATTTTGGGTAGCCAATGTCTAAGTTCCCTCCCTGTCGACCCTGTATACCAAGGGGGTGGGAATGATCCTCACTGTAGAGATTTGTCCGCTCCTTTGTCACACTGCATCCACAAGCATAGGTCATGATCATTCACTTATAGTGGGTTATTCCTTTTTTCCCCCCTCTTCTTTCTTCCTCTAGTCATGTTCTGATCATCCAGCCATCGATGCCAGGTCAAATGGGTACTATCTGCAAGTGTTCAAACCTCCAGCCTTTTGGTTAGTAGTCAAATACATTAACCAATTGTACCACCTGGACAAATTCTCCTTATTCTGTGAATGAATCTGGTAACATAGGAAACTATTAGGGCCTTGGTTCCCTAAGGTAAAATAGTTTCCAATGGACCCAGTTGGAAAGATGTTTAGATGAAAAGAAGGGTTTTGTATTTCTTTAAAATCAAATTCTTTGCAGATAAGGAAAACTATCTCTATTTGCAGATAATATGATCTTGTATATGGAAAATTCTAAGGCATCCACAAAAATACTATTAGAGCTAAGATCAATCTACAAAAAGCAACTGTATTCTATAAACAACACGAAAATGCAATTGAGAAAGCATTTCCATTTACAATAACATCAAAAAAGAATAAAATTTCCTGTTGTCCCTGGGGAAGGAAATACTCATTTCACCACCACATCCCAGATTCAAGCTTTCTTATTGAATCAGGTATTTCTTATGGATTCTTCCAAACATCTCACCTATTTCTTGCTCCAGTTCTGCAAGGGTACTGACAACATGACACCGTGTCTCGTCTCCTGTTCTAGGGCTTTCCTGCTGCCACTCCCGTGTCCAGGCATGGAAGTGTGCTGGAACTTATCCCCTATGAGAACAGGAGCTAATGGGTAAATCTTTTCCCTTTTCCTTTTCCCAAGGAATGCTTGTGATGTTGTAGGAGAAGCACTGGGCTGCGACCACAAGGTCAACAGTTCAAACCCACCAGCTGTTCCACAGGAGACAAATGGGGCTTTCTGCTCCAGTGAAGAATTTAAAGCCTTGTAAGTCCCATACACGGTCACTATGAGTCAGAACGGACTCCCAGACACTTGACAACAACAACAAAAAAAACCCCTAAGCGATGCAGAGAAACTATCAGTTCACTACCCTCAGTAGCATAAAAGTAGTATTGTCACTGGTATTTTATAAGCCGAACAAGCCCCCCAAAATTCCTGGCCCCTTCCCTCTCCTGTCCTTCAAAGTCTTTGGGCGCTGGACTCTTCTGACTCACGTATCTATCTGATACTAACTTACCACCTGGTGCAGAAGGAAAAGAAAACATCCCATCCTTTGTCTCTGTGATTTGTCAGAAAATTGACTTTCCTTCTGACCCTGGGCCCCTTTGCCAACCAAGCAGAGATTAGAATGGAGAGACACAAACATGCAGGTTACCTTTCTTGTCCTTCCTTTCTGCTCATTCACTATGACAACTGCAAATGACACCTCAAAGATGCCATCTGCCTCCAGCCTGTGCTGTGCTCTCTCAGCAGATGGGACTCCAATTTCTGAGAAGGTTGAGCATTGTTCAGATCCGATTATAGGGATATCAGATGTTTTATCCCAAGGAACAATCTAACCAAGTTTGTTGCTTTTCCTTCCAGGTATCAACAGATTCATTGAAAATAATTCTTTCTGAGCATTTCTGATATTAAACCCCTACATTATTTTTTTAAGTATTTTTATTAAGTACTTCCAAGTCGGTTCCTGACTCATAGGGACCCCATGTAGGGTTCCTGAGGCTTTAAATCTTTGTGGAAACAGAAAGCCTCATCTTTCTCCCATGGAGTGACTGGTGGGCGTGAACCACAAATCTTGTAGTTCACAGTCCAGTGCTTATTGTACACCTACATTAATGTTGTCCTTTTAAGAGAGATCTCTTGGCAGGCTATACCGTTATTCCAATAGTACTGATAAATGAAAACAGTACTGCAAAAAAAAAAAAAAAAATCTCTCTGGAACTGTGTCCAGGGTTCTTTATTCACCATTCAACATTAGCTGAATAGCTACCAAATCCCAAGCTTCCTATCATACAAGGTACTTGGATGTGATGTTGACCAAAACGTCAGCCCTTCCTTCAAGGAGCGTGTTGTCTAAAGGGAGGGCAAGCAGAGCAGGCAAATTACAACTTAGAAGTATTATAACAAACAACAAACAAAGCTCCAAACAAGTACTGCAGGGCACAGAGAAAGAAGCCAGCAACTTTCACCAGAGGACCTGGGAAAGCAGGCTTCATGGGACATGCCCTTAATGGATGAATCAGCTGATGAGTGGGGAAGACAGTCAAGTACATAGAAGAACAGGTCCAATGCCTGGAACTGTAACCAAACCCAAAACCCATTGCCATTAAATCAATTCCCACTCGTGGTGGTGGTGATGGTGATGGTGATGGTGACGTGCCATGACTGTAAATCTTTATGGGAGCAGACAGCTTCATTTTTCTCCCAGAGCCGCTGGTGGGTTTGAACTACTGATCTTATGGTTAGTAGTCCAGTGCTTAGAGTTGTAAAGGGTTTGGCATATGAGGGGTGAGAGAGCAGTGCCCCATGTCCAGAGAAGAAGGACTCGGAGGAAGTGAAGGCCAAAAGGCAGAAGAAGGCTAGAGTCAGACTGGGCAAGGCCTGGCTTGCCAGGCTAAAACGTGTACTTATTCTAATGAGCAATGGAAAACTAAAAGCAGGAAAATGTTTGGAGCAATTTGGATTTGAGAAAGACTGTCGTTAGCTGGAATGAAGCACTGTCCAGTTCTGTGCCAATCCGTTGTAGACCATTGTGATCCACAGGGACTTTACTGGCTAATTTCCTGAAACAGATCACCCCACCTTTATTCCTGGTGTGTCTAACTCGAGTCTCTGCTCACACCTACTCAGCAGCAAAGCAACACACAAGCCTTCCCTGACAGGTGGGTGGTGGCTGTGTGTATGTGAACCAGGGCCTCCAAAATGGAAGGTTCCACCATTAAGGAGTAAACCAGTTGCCACCAAAGCAATTCCAACTTGTGCTGACCCCATGTGTGCCAGACTGGAACTGTGCTGCAAAGGATTTTCAATGGTTAATTGTGCAAACGTAGAGCGCCAAGCTTTTCTTTGGAGATGCCTTTGGGCATCTCCAATAGCTAACCTGTCCATTACCAGCTGTGCTTGCACAACTCAGGAACTCCTTAAAAGGATGATCCTGGTGTGTTTTGAAAGGGTGACTACAGGGCACTTGCAGCTCCTGGTACACTTGATCTCATTGTCACAGAAGTCACAAGAAGAAGCAATATTAAAAATATTAAGTTAACATTTACCAAGTTCTTACTATAGAACAGATTATATGCTCAAAATTTTAAATGCATCGTCTTATTTAACTTTCAGAATGACCCCGAAGCTAGGAACTTGTGTCCATTTTGTAGATGGAAAAGAGGTTAAATAATTTGTGAAAGGCCATACAGTTAGTATCAGGATTCAAAGCTGGATTTATCAGACTCTCAAGCCCAGAGAGTCTTTGCATAGGAGCAGTTATTCAGCAGAGAGAAGAGATGAATCAAAGCAATAACAACACAATTTGAAGAAGAATCAATAGGAGGCGAGAGATAAGGAGGACTAGGGACTGACTGCCAGTCTTCCAGTTGGAGAGTCCAAATGGATTGCCCTTTATTGCTCTTATAAATAATCTAGGAAGAGGCAGACCAGGCTTATGAGAAAGGAATAAAG